AGTGATCGGGGCCATCTTATTGGTCGCTTGTGAGTCATCGACAATGTAGGTAATCATTGGTGGGTCATTTGCTTCCCTTATGTAATTTCTTTGGGCGTTCCTGGTGTTGCCACCGATGTGAGGTCCCCCAATGATTGTGTCCATCTCCCTGATGACTTGGCTCCCAGAGAATAGGGCCTGATCTCTCTGTCTAGACTGACCTCGGTCCCTTGATTCTCTTCTCCGAGGTGATTGCTCTCTATGCCCTCTTTCTCCCCTGTTCGGAGATGCGGATCTGCGAGGATATTTGCTCCTGTTGGAAGGATATGAATTGCTTCGATTAGGGCATCGATTAGCGTCTCGGCACTCACTAGTGTCATACTCGTAGTTGGTGGAAAGTGCAAAATCTTGCCCCTTCCAAGGGCCTATTTGACAGTTTCTTCTTCATCTTCTTACTATCAGCTCTTCCGGATGGTCCTGCTTCGCCAGGAGCATTCTTGTATGCTAATACCGGCACTGCATTCAATGTGGCGAAAGCTAGTGCCTGTCCGGAGGTAGGAGCTATTGTATGACCTGCTTGAGTCCACTGCTGAGTGACGAGGTGCGCTGCGGGTCCTCGACCTACCTGCCTCTGAGGCGGAGGGAGTCCCTGTACAACACGATTTCGATGATCAATCATTTACTCACTGACGATTTCCACTCTCACGATTTTTACCAGTTCGTCATAGGTAGCAGGATTCTTGCTGCGCACGTCCCTCCAAAACAAAGTGTTCATGTTGAGGCCGCCTTTCAGAGCTGAAAGGGCTTCCCTGTCAGTAACCCATTTGCAGTATGTGATTTCGTCTGTAAACCTGGCAAGATAGCTTTTCAGCGTCTCTCCAGGGGCCTGCCTCATATCTTGTAGGCGTTGCACTGGGGCCTCTCCTTCCCTGCATGAGAGGCATTGATTTAAGAATGCCTTCTTCAAATCTGGCCAAATCCTAATGCTCAGGGAGGAAGTCTACTATACCATACTTTAGCAGCTCCGCCCAGGGTTAAGTGGAAGACTCTGCATTTCAAAGCAGGCAAGGCTCCCCTGAGGCTCATTTGTGTCATGTACTTGGTGAGGTACTTCTTCAGGTCCTCCTTTCCTTCATACTTGGGGATCTTAGGGGGGCATGAAGTTCGCCGACATTGGGAAGCTTCGGATCTTCCTTAAAAAAGGGAGGTTATCATCATCGTCATCGATCTCATAAGATCGACAGGGCCCATCTGACCCTTCATCGTCTTGAATATCCTGGGGAGGTGGAGGTGGTTCTCCTCGGCTCCCTCAATCAACTAGGCTCCTTCTATCCCTCCTATTTCTAGGAGGAGGAGCCTACTCTTGTTCCTGGTCTTGCCGAACTGATCTTCGCACTAAGTAGGCCTTGTCACTACGGTCATGCCCTATTCGGTCTAAGACGCTTACTGACCTTTGTTCCTCATATTCTTGAGGAAAATTGTCCCCTAAATGTGGTTCTGCTGGCTGGCTTCCTTGCACATAGGATGTGGCTTCCCCGCCCACTTCCGCGTTCTCTGTGATACAGGGGCTTCCTGCACCGGGTAAGATCCTTGGGGCATTTGATAGCCTTGTTGACCTTGAGCTTGCATGAGAAGTTCATGCATCGCCATATTCTGAGCTGTGATGTCTCTCATGCCCGCCGCTATTTGAGCCATCCATTTAGTGAGCATGGATGTTCTTTCACCTCGGCGACGCTGGTGATGGGGTCTCTGGTGAGTGACATTGTTATGGAGCACCTCTTCTTCAGAGGCCTCTCTCATGGGGTTGTCGTCTTCATGGCTAGAACTCATTCTATCTCCTTTTTCAAGGGTGATGAGAATTTGGGATATAACTTGACTTTGTTCTTTTTCAAGAACGTGCCCTTTTCAGGGTAAGTCGCTAGTTTTTCGATGTTTTCTCCGGTGGAGAATGCAGAGCTTTGAACGGGAAGTTTCCCACAGACGGCGCTAATCTGTTGACCTCGAAAATTGGACCCTCTATGTGGCCAACCGATAGCCACTTCACGTATTCCTCCCTGCGCACAATCAACACATGGTCAGGTGCACACGACCGGAACCAGCGGGGGTAGCGGCGGCGTATACACTCCGACAGTCAAGTTAGGCTCAGGTGATCGGAATAGTACCAAGGTTGTGCAAAATAGTGGGAAGGAGAATATATATTTGCTTGCTATGGAGTGCTAAAATAGGAAGAGTTTCATTACCTTTGTCGCTTGCCAAGTCTTGGATATTTATAGGTGAGGAGAGCCGTTGGATGTGAGACACGTGTATTTATTTGAACGGTATGAGGCGTCTGCTCATAAGCGTCAATTAGCCGCGTCTATAGAGTGGAATGGTAGTTACTTCTCCCAAGTTAAGTTGACATAAAGTTGATAGGTCACATCAACTAGTATCATGGAGACGTCAAATCACTTTAAACCTTAGGGGCAGAAAAGATCTTGACAAAGATCTCATTCTGAAATCGATGGCGGATCCTCAGGCCGAGGTACCCGGGGTTCATTTCACCTCGGATCCAGGGGCTGGGGCGCTTCGATCAGTCATGCAGAATTACCTATGCCTCGTAGTGTGATAGCAGATTATCTCCATTGGTGAAGTCACATCGAAACCACTTCGGATGAGCATTTCACACCTTGCCTGATGTGGTGGTGGACTTTTCGAAGTGATTCAATTAGGGGCGTAACAGTTTTAACATAGTTTAAATAGTTTAAATTATAATTTAAATTAGTCTAATATTCTTTTTATCTACAAACTTATAGGATTTACAACTTTAAAAGTAATATTAAACAAGAAGTTAATATGGAAGGTGAGGACTCTTCGAATGAAGAAGTCTCCTTTTTACAGCTTGAAGTAAGGTGGGGTCAAAACTTTTCATGTCATACCTTGCAGTGGTTGAATCAGAAATTTTATGTGGTTAAGGTATGGGGGATGGGAAATGTTGCGTAACAAAATATATACTAAAAATATTCAAAATTTCTACATAGATTTAGAAAAAAAATTAAAATATTTTGGCGGGCGATTTCCACCCCCTCCCCCGTCCTTCGGCCTCTGCTCCCTTGCGCATGGCTAGTGATTAGTGCACTGAATTATATGCAAGAGGCCTCAGATAGTTGAGTTTATTGTCAATTTAACGATCCAGCCTCTATGCTCAAGTTATTAACTTACGCATTTGGTACCATTGTCCAACTTAAGTCATTCTTAAAGGAAAAAATATGGATTTGAATTCTAGGAGCGTGATAGAAATTCTTGAGAAGATGGGCTAGATTTTTTCAAAACGGACAGTACGTAAGTTAACGACTTAGACATAAAGATCGAATCGTTCAATTGTGACAAGGATTCAACTTAAGTCTCTGTTAAGGGAAATGCCATGGGTTCGAATCTTGGGGACGCGATAAGAATCCATGAGAGACAAGATGGGCTTGGCTCTTCCATAGCAGACAGTAGTAAGTTAACTGACTTGGATAAATGGGTCATATCGTTACAAAAAATGTGCATTTTTTTATAATGACTTGTCCAATCGGTACACAATTCAACTTAAGTCTTCCAAAGGAAAAGATCATGGGATCGAATCTTGAGAACGCAATAGAAATCAATGAGAATACATAAATTAACGGCCTGGACATAGATGTTTGGTCATTACAATCAATGTTCGAGTCTGGATTTTTTAGAAAAGGCTTGAGAGAGCAATGCCTTTTACTTTCTGTGTCTTTTGCATGTACAATTAAGTGTTTGACCTTGACTTATTCAATTTATTGAGTGTCCTTCCCATTAGGGCAATTATATGCTCGGTCTTTTGTGAGAGTTGATGAGGAAGACGATCTATGAAAATAGGATCACAAGGGGTTGCCATGGTGACTGTTGCGTTAACAAGGCAAGGACCTATGGTGAGAAGGTTTAGCGGTTTAGGGTCATCTATCCTCGAACATGACCCAACCTTTTGGTGACCACATGACTAATTCCAGGGAGGCAAGGTGTCAGCGTGAAGCATATTTTACAACACATACGAGGTCTTAACATGGGGTTTACTTAAGGTTAATATTTCTCAACAAGGTCCTAGTTTGGCCATGCGATGGCCACATAGTTAATGACACATCATAGACTATAAAAAGGCAAGGATGTTGGAGTTGTTTCTATTTCTCAAACCCATGGTGAGAAAAAAGAAGTGAGATAACTTTACACTACTTATTTCATATTTTATATTTTCCTATCCAAATAACTAAGACAAGTTTCGTCCACCTCCTTCACCAAAAATTTTTCATTCCAAATCACAAAGGCACACTCTTTTTTTGTTTCATTTAATGTAAGGAGTTAAAGATCTTAGAAGACGATTGTCGTTTGAGTCTCAGACATAAGTGTCCTACAAATTATCTTGATCAGAGTTGAGACATAAAGTCAAAAAAGACTAGAGATATTTATCATTTTGTCATTATAAAAGAGAAGAAGACTATAGACATTTATCATTTTGTCATTATAAAAGAGAAGCCCGAAATGAAATCTAATCTATATAAATTACACCAATAACTTTGGAAATTTTAACTTTGTCAATGGTTTTTAAATAGTCTCAGCCCTCAACCTGTTACGTTGCTCTCTATCTAGAACTTTTTTTAATTTAATTTTATTATGGATCATATGTTAAAAAAAAATAAAAAAAATAAAAATAAAACTCGTTATATTGTAAGAACGAACCCTCTCCAACCCCACTCTTCCTCTTCTTCTCGCTCTCTCGATTTCGACACCCAAACCCAGCCCCCACTCCACCCCACCCTACTCGCAGAGAAATCATCAAACGAGACGCCATACCCCAATCACACTTCCGCTTTTCCCCCAAATCATCCATTTTCAATTCCCCTTTCTCAGATTTGCTGGTTCATATACAATAATCCCTCTCACATCTAGCGTATTCACCCACTTATATGAATTATTATTGATGCCTTTTAGTTTATCTTTCGTGATAATACTTGTGGGTTTGGATTATGTTTTTAATGCAGATACAACTAATAAGTTGGGGAATGGTCGTAAAAGCCATGTTCGTGTGGTGGCGCTAGCATGCACCTCGTAATTTACGTGGTGGTGGTGGGTTCATAGATTGGTTCCCCGTTTCGATTTGTTGATTTCAGTGGGTTTGAAGAATTACTGTGATGCCGAATCAAGTGGTGAAGGTGAAGCGAGAGGCAGTCTTGCCATGCATGACATGTCCACTCTGCCGCAAGCTCTTCCACGACGCCACAACTATTATCGAATGTCTTCACACATGTGAGTATACTCCTGTCATTGTGTAATTCTTTGGAATTTCTATAATTCGCTTTGAATTTCATGAATAATTAATTTCCAGTTTATGGTCAGTGTTCGTCTGTGATCTGATTTTGCTTTGTCTTTCGTGTTGTGGCATCTGGGTTTGGGGCTTGAATTGTTGCCCGGATTGCACGTTAACGATCCGGGCATCAGAGATATGTTTATGGGTCTTTTTAAATTTTCCGTGTTTTATAAGTTTGAATTTTCTTTTTTCTGTGTTTATGGATATTATGTATGCTCAGTGGGATATTTTATTGACCTGATTTCTGCAGTCTGAGTAAGTGGCGTGAGCAACTGATCGATTTTCTGAAAGAATTTTTTTTTTCTTGAAAATATTCTAATCAAAATTTGAACTAGCGATGGACAAGTATTGGTACCAGGGTTTATCCCTCCGTCCCCGCTTGATATCATATAAATTATGTTTGAGGCGAAATAAAGATACAAGTGTATACATTCTCTTCCTTTGCTCTTTAATGCTTCGAGGAATTTAATTTTTATGTGTTCACCATATAATTTTTAAATTTTTTTGATGAGGAATCTAATATTTTTGCCTTTGGATACTATCTAGTTTGCAGGAATTGCATATATAAGAAACTTTCAGATGAGGAAATGGAATGCTGTCCAATATGCAATATTAATTTAGGATGCGCTCCATTGGAGAAGTTGAGGTCAAATACTTTTTCTAATGCTGTCTCTCTCGGCACACACACCTGTTTATAATTGCTAGGTCTTTTTCTTAAAATGTTTGATAAAAAGTTATGTAACTGAAGATCAATGATGGTTTGTGCATTCAGTTTCCATTTCCCGATATCATTTTTGGACACCTTTGAAACACTCATTTGTCTTATACATGGAAAGCCTTCTGATTCTGGAGCTCACTAGCTCATCACCATCTTTTCCTTTGTTTCATTTTTCTTTCATATCTTTGTTATAGATACAATGCCAAGCTTATGGCATAAATATCGTTGTTTCTTTTTCTTTCATATCTTTGTCGCACGAATTTAGTTGTGCTCAACTTTTGAAATCTCAAATGTTTGAGGATATTGATTGTTCTGTAGTTCTGCAAAATAAAGAAGAAAAATATCATCAAGAAACTAATTAGGCTTATTGGGAACAAAATATCAGATAGTGAAGGTCTAGATTCACTTCTATTTCGTTAGTATTAAAGACCTTATGCATAAATACTGTTATAGGGGAATTTTTTTGCAAGCAGATGCAATTTCGGTCATTTTTTGTATTCATGTCTAAGAGAAATTTTAGATGTTGAACTTTTCATCTGATAGTTGATACCCCCCCCCCCCCAGGGTGCGCGCGCCTCTTTTTGTGTGTTAAAAGTATAAAATTAAATTTTGTATTTTAGGCCTGATCATAAATTGCAAGATGTAAGGGCAAAGATATTTTCTTCTAAGAGAAAGGTAAACACACCTGAAGTGGTGACTCCAGTTCAATTACCTGCAAAGAGAAAGGAGAGATCACTCTCTTCGTTGGCGATTAGTGCTCCTAGAGTATCAGCACACAGTGGAATGACAGGAAGAAGATCGAAATCTATTGCAAGAAAAGCATCAAGAAGTTCCAGTTTTACGATAGAGAAAGCTGTTGACAAAGATGAAGATTCAGTGGAAGACTGCCCTGAGAACTCTAAGTCACCTGAGAGACTAAACAAAGTTTCCCAGAATACCAGGCTGGTGAGGGAAATATATCTGACAGTTACATATACTGCCTTAATTTTAGGATTCCGCCTGGTTATCTCTACACCTTATGCACGTCTCAAATACCATTCTTTGTGCTTACTGATGTTGCTTGTACAGAACCCTAATGCTGCTGAGGCATCTAGCCGACTTAGTCCTGATGAAGAGAGAGAGAGAGGTTCTGAAGCATTGAAAGGGAAAGTTGATCTTTGGAAGCCCTTGAATTGTTTGGTGGAAGCAGCGAATAGGAGTAAATCTTCTCAGTTGGCCCCCCAAGGATCTGTTGCTAAGTCGGATTCTATACATTTCCATGGTAATGAGGGACTCGTCCGTAAAAGCAAAAACAAGGAAGCAGGAACAAAGTCAAAAGTTCAACATGATAAGAATGGCAAAGTCCACGACCACGGAGAATCAGAAAAAACTAAAAAAATACGTAGAATCCAGCAGAAGAAGGCACGTAATTCTGGAGAGCTTAGAATAACACACCAGGATGTGCTCAATGCTGCCACTGCTACCTGTGAAAAAAGAAATAATCCAATTTGGTTCTCATTAGTGGCGTCTGATGACCAGTATGCATTTACTTCTACTAAAATGATCAGATCTTTTGAATAGACTGGATGCTGTTGTATATGTCATCTCTGTTTCTGGAATTTTCTGATTTACTTGATATATTTTTTTAGGGAAGGAGATGCACACTTGCCACAAATTTCTGCCAACTACTTGAGGATAAAGTAAGTTCTTATCTGCTTCATTTCATTTTAGCTAATGAATGATCAATGTTCGTAAATCGAAGATCTTGTGATGTTATTCTCCACAAGAATTGCCTTGATTTAGTGACTTATGTCTTCATAAATGATTAAACTTGCTTGCTGGCAATGTTATTCATTCACAAATGAAAGGAATGTGCTCATTTACTATAAATGGACGAGAATTCCACTGAAATTCTATCTGTTATTTTACTGTTATTTCGAGTTTTGTGCACACCGTCTCTGTGTTGGTTTCTTCAATTTCCACCTGTGATAACTGGTAACTGTTCTCCAGACTTCCATGATATGATACAATTCTCCAACTCTTTTTATGGTCCAACTGGAAAGTATAGTCATATGATCGCAACAATGTGTCATTTTTGGAGTTTTATGAGTCGAAATGAATTGATGATGCTTCTGAATGTTGTAATGTTAAAGTTCATGAATTTGAAAGAAATGTAAGTTTTCATCATACAGATTATGACTGAAATACTTTCTTCCTTCATAACTGCTTCATTCTTCACAGGGATGGGAGCATACCGGTTTCTTTTATCCAGAAGTACCTCAAGAAGAAATTGGATCTTACTAATGAAGATGAGGTAAGCAATTCCATCCCTTCCAATTAATTAGAAATGGCTTCATGCATTCTTGAGGAGCTACAATGGTTTACCATGTCAGACTCTTCATGTTTCTTAATTTGTCTTTAATAATACTTAGAATGTGCGAGAAGTCATATTATCAGCGACAAGTATGGATGATGATTCTTTCGCCATTCACTTTGTAGGTTGAAATCAAATGTATGGGACAAACGGTCGTCCCCACATTGACACTGAATAATCTAGTTGATATATGGCTTCAAACTACTACTTCGGAGACAGTATCAGCCACTATTGGTTCATCAGCAAAGGACTTTATGATGGTATTAAGCTACTCTCGCAAAGCTCCCGATATTTGATTGAATGTGTATCGGAGAGCATGCATTGGGATTTGTGATTTCTTGAAACTGCTATCACTGCCATATTCGTACTCAAGCCAGAACATAGTCCAATAAGTTTGCATTGAAGCAGATGAGCTGGTGATTTGTTTACAAGAAAAAAAAGGTTTTACTTATGTTTTATTTACATCAGGATGGACGAGCGCACTCGAATTCATTTTTGTTCTGTTGTAGGTGGATTTTTAACTCTCTATATTCCCCATATAATCTTGGACCCTGTCAATGTGTTACCGGTTCCAAACTTGTACATCCGTGAATGGTACTTTTTCAAGTATATATGGACATGTGGATAAAAATGATGTTTGACCTACTTATAAACTTGAAAAAACACCAAATCGATTGTGCTTCAAGGTGAAATAAGACTGCAAGGTTGATTACATTTGCTATGTTTAAAAGCATAAACAAAAAGGAAAAGGTAATAAAAACATAATCATATGACTATTCAAAACACAAAATTTTACAGTAAAAAAGTGATGATATCCAATCTTCAATTCCCTTGCAACAAAAACTTGCAATTCTAGCCACAATTTTCATCCATTTTGTAATACTATAAATCTCTAATGCTAAAGTTTGTTCAGACTACTGTGTAAGTGGATCCAACAACAGAGAGCAATCCGCCATCGGCAACTTCATCTTCATCCAAGAACAAATCCTCCGTAGCCCTAAATCCTGCGTGCAGAACCAAAATCACCAATCCAATCAAAATTGACACCAGAATATTCAGCCAAACGCCAGTGAAAATCAAGCACACAATCGTCACAATTCCGAGCACGATCGAAACCACGCGATCATCCAACATACGATTGAACAGCTCAATCGGCTCCTCGCGAAAGAAGTAGAGGAGAAACCAGAAGACGAACACTACTAGGAACACAATCATGGAAATTGGGTGCCATAACAGGCTGAGGAAAAGTATGAAAAGCATTATCATTGCGTAGTTTACACGGAAGTAATTAAAATTGCGCTTGAAACGCGAGGTGAATTCGCTGACGCTGTAAGGGATGGTGTAGGAGGCCGGATGGGAGAAGAGCTCGCGCCACGGCCGACTTGTGGCGTAGATCAATTGCATCCGTGATTTGGCGCGAATAAAGACTCCCCCTTCGGCGGTTGCGCTGCCGTAGTCCGTCGGCAGAGAACTGTACCCGGTCGACATTTTAATATTTATTTTATCTTGAACTCGAAAATACGAACCCTAAAAGAGAGAGGAAGAGTGGTGCTAGTTTTCGTTTCGTCAGTAGCTGCCCATTTATCGGAGGTGATGTTACGGCGCCGTTTCCGGAGAATTTGTGCTTTGCAAACGTGTGCACGACGAGGCACTCAACTTTTTCTAGCTTCGAACTCAAGAAAAACAAAGAAAAATGTTTTAAGATATTTTAAGAGCGGAAATAGCAACGAAGGTCCTCAACATTTCATACAACAAGCATTGGGTCCCCGAACTATCAAAAGGAGCAATATCCCCAGAGAAAGGCATGGATGAAGCAACTGGTGTTATAAGTCCCATGTGAATTGTTGTGAAATAAACGGTGTACAACGTTACGATAGGAAGGTTACCGTTTGGTTTGCTGGATTGAATTATTCCATCGAAATATGTATATGTTGGTCTATAGTATACAACAAACTAATGATGATTCCCAAAGAATTTTCAGCTCATTTACATGGAACGATTGCTAGATATACTGAAATATCTTTTCTGCGTCTTTTCATTGATTCGGATATTTAGGATTGAATATGTAACAATATTAAATCCACACAATGACGATTAACTGGTGCAGACCAATTTTGGTGAATAAATAAAAGAAATGAAACGATGATTTCACAAATGGCATCAAGCTTGGGTATCCTTTAAGGGGACTTTTGACGGTAGATTGGGTCGATAGGGGCACAAGAATAGTCAGAGGAGATATTCCAAGATCCCGAGATGGGTGAGTGATAGAGTGCTCTTATCGAAATTTTTGAAATCGTCTACTTGTTATGTGGAGAATTTGCAAAACCCAATTGTCATGGAGAATAATATCAATTTTTCAGCATTTTGACAATAGAATTTGGAAAAGATATTAACGAACAGATTCTAACAATATAAAAAATGATATGCAACGTCCTCAAAGAGTGGCTTTATCGTGTGGAGTAAAATAATACTATTTTCATGATGTCGTGCATCTTTTCCATACTCGTTATATGTTACCTTTTTTGATACTCAAAAAAGTTGAACCCCAACCTTGAGAGCCTCCCGCCCCTAAAACTTTGTGAGGAAGGTAAATCGCGAGATGTGTTCCATCAGGTTAGGAAACAAGAGCTGTATATACACAGCGCCTAGAAGGAATCCAATTCCATGTCTTAGAAATCGAACCTCCATATTGCAGCTGCCAGCAAGGTGTGAGATAACTTCACTCCTATCATTTACACCACTAAACTATGCTCTGGGGGCTACCTTTTTGATACTCTTGAAAGCTTATTGCTGAGGAAGAAGATTTGGATGAGAAAACAGCGTTACTATTCATCATTTGAACTATTAACATACATTTGTAGTATTGTTATTGTGTTTAAGAATTTTGGTGTTACGAGAAAAATTTCTTTCCAAGAAAACATACAAAAAGCTATTCTTCTTCATTTGATGTTGATTGTTCTTGAAACAGACTTCATATTTACCAATTAATTTGTTGGATAAGCTAATATTTTGTAGTGTGTCAAATCTCTCAAGGACAACATTGTGGGAGACAACAGACATACAAGAATGGCTTATAAATTTTGTAAATTAATTTGGTATAGATTCTTTAAAATTTATCTTTAACTACATATTCTTTTCAATAAAATAAATTTAAATGTGAATCTATAACTTTTTCCTATTTTTATAACAATACATTCTCCAAAAGTGCCCCTTTTTCATTAAGTTTATTCTAAAAAATCTACACCAAACATAGCCTTATATTTTAACTTTTATAACATCGCAATCTTAAAATATCATCTCTTTATGGGATCTCGAATTTCAATTTTGCTTTTTATGTGCTTTTTTAATATAAAAAAGGTCAAGTTTTCATATCCATGTGCCTCAAAAGTATAATAAAATTCTCCCTCTTCTTGCTCTCAATATGCATTTTGAAACTTTTTCAAAGAAAAGTTCATAATGCATGTTAAACTAGCTAAGCTTAAAAATGTTAGGACGTGGAACCGTTTTCTACTAATTTTAAGGATAACTCTTAATTTATTATTATGACCCGTAAAGAGAACTTACAAATAAATAGAATTTTTAATCTTAGCCAAACATAATTGGCTCAAGGAAAAGGTTGTCATTAGCACCAAATGCAGGAGAAAACATCATCTCTAACCTTGCATCAAAATTTGAGGTAAGTTTGCATCATTTTACATAAAATCTAGCACAAAATTAAAAATCATCTCCAACTATTACACCAAATGAACAGTGTTAAATCATTTTTTTCATTTAATAATTCATTTATTTGAAATTATTCATTTATTTATTTTACAAATACACATAATTACGTTAAATAATACTAGAGTAATGTATGTATATGGTCGTTGTAATACATTTCGTGTTAACTTTAAATAATCGTGTTTTTTATATTTTAATTTTTTTTTTAGTCTTATTTTAATTAATAATTAATTATTATTTTTTACATTATTAAAATTTATTTTAAAATCAAATAACAACAACAACAACAACTTGTATTAAAAAAGATATAACACTTGTGACACAAATACCTTCCATCAGTTAGTTTGACAAATGAAAAAAAAAAAAGGGGTAAATTTGACTCTGCACCATTTTGCACCAAAATGGCGCAAACTTTGGTACGACATTGGCGAGTTTTTGCACCAAATTTTGGTGCATTTTGATGTTTTGGTGTTTCCTTTGTAGATTAATCTTCCAATATGTTTAATTTTTTATTGTCTTTAATGAAATGTATTAAACAATCCAAATACATTGTCCAGTTTTAACTAATGACTCACAATGATTTAATGAATAACAAACCGTTTTCATAGTTAGATACTGATTGTATGGCTATAATGAAAGATTAAAAATCAATTTTCTCGATTTTTAAAGCTTGTGAGTCGAGGACTTCGTTATGTTAATCATGTCATTTTCCCCAGTGTTAAAATGAAATTATATAAAAAATGTAAATTAAAGAACCGCCTAAAATAATTTCATCACAATTAGTCTAGAGCTCTTCATCCATGACTTAGTATATGTTCGATAAAGTTTTATTAGGTCATATGTTGTGACTTGTAAAAATATATAAATAATACATAAAACATTATAATACGTATAAAACATTTGGATATAGATAGAGTTAAATAAACTTTATCAAACATGATCTTAATTTCATACTAATCTATAACAATTACATATGGCGAGTGAGAAAGAGAAGCATACATATTTTTCATGTAGAAAGATAAAAAAAAGTCTATTTATTTAGCCCCTGTTTGATTTTCATTTTTTTATGGGAAAAATTCAAAAGCCAGGTGTTAAATATGACAAATTCAATTTTCAAGTGTCAAGTTTCAAAATACAAAACTCAAATATTAGCTAATTAATAACTTTTTTTATCGGTCAAATATTGTTAAATTAATTGGCCACAGATTATTTCGAGATCACAAATAAATTTTTTTATAGGTCACAATTTATTTTATTGGTCACAAATCAAAAAAATGAAATAAAAATATGTGTCACAGTTTATTATTGGTCACAGATTTTCAAATTTTTTTATCACAAATTATCGAATTTTAAGGTCACAGTTTAAAAGTTAGTCATAAAAAACTAAATCATTGGTCACATACACTAAACACCCCACCATCGATCTCGATCCACCCCAATATTTGGTCACAAATCAACCAGATAGTTGGTCACATTCCCTGTCTCACCCCGTCCCCGCCACAACACTACCGCGACCACTGCCACATAGCTGCCGCCTGCACAACACCACTAGAACCATCGTTGACAACAAAAATGACCATAACCTCACGACAGGTGATCTTCCGATGGTGACATCGTTGTGTAGGTGATTCAACATCCCAAACTGTCAGATCCACCACAAAAAATAGTCACCACCACCACCACACAAAAGACCATCTATAAAATAATTAATAATTTCCATATGTAAACCTCGTCAATTATATTAAAAAAATGACAACATAAAATTTAAAAAGCAAAAAGAAAAAAAAAAAAAAAAAAGAACAAGCAGAGTCGCGGGCAACGGCGTTCACAGCACCGCCATCTTCGGTAATAGATGGAGTGCCTCGGTGAGAAGGGAAAATGTGCGGCAGCGCACAAACCTACACAAATTAGAGAAGATTTCAGCTGTCACTTCATGTACAAATCGCTGCCGTTGCACTTCCACTCGTTGTGGCTCCGATCTCTTCATTACCAGCAGCATCGCGGTAATGCTTACGTGGTAGCGACGGTAAGTACTCCGACGACGATGACGGACAGAGATGAGGATATGTGAGAGAGAGAGAGAGTGAGAGAGAGAGGAAGAAGATGAAGAGTGAGTGAATGAGAAGAATGAAATGATAGGGTTTGTAATTAAATTGTATGAAAATATTTAATATTTGATTATTTTGTTAATACTTAATTTGTGAATAATGGAACTTCGACTCTGATTTTTGAATTGTAATAGTTAAACAACTAATATTATGTAATTTCCTCTTTTTTCAAATTCTTTTTTTCTACCGAATTATTTTTAACCACAATTCACATAATAAAATATTTTGCATGTAAATCTAAATTTTTTTCCTACTTTTTAACCATACTTTCTCTTAAATTTTTTTTTTTTTTTTTTTTTTTTTTTTTTTTTTTTTTTTTTTTTTTTTTTTTGATTTATTTTTTAAAAAAAAAAAAAAAAAAAAAAAAAAAAAAGGGGGAATGGCCCCAAGACAAGGGTTTAGTTCTAATTTCTTGAACTTATTCTATATGCTCACTTGGATGGAGATTTACTCCAAGTTAAGAAATCGTATATTCCTCTGCTGCAATGACTTCTGAATTCTCTCTTAGCTCCTCGAGAATCCATTTTACGCTATTACACCACTGGATCTCGTTTTAAGTGAAAATATTTTATTTTGTGTATTTTTCTCAAGTCAACATATTTTCCTAACAAGTGGACCCCAGGGGTTCGTCACCTGAAATTGTTTGAAAACTATTTTTTTCACCCTCACCTTCAATCACACTCACATAATAAAATATTATACATGTAAGTTCGAAATTTTTTTCAACTTTCTAACGCACATTTTTCTAAAAATCACTATTCAAAACATTTTTTTGACCAAATAATAACCATCAGACAGAGGCTTAGTCCTATCGAATAATGCTATGTAGATTCATCCATTTAAGTGATACCAATGTCATTAAATGAAATATAAAATCAAATGAGTTTAATTGAGTTTAGTTTACGAGTAATGCTATTTGCAGTCCCTAATTGTATTATATAGCATACATGCGACAGTTAGTGATTTGATACATTAATATTATAGTTTTTTATTATCTTATACAACAAATCACTAATCGCTACATGTGTATCATATAGGACGACTGCGATAGTGAATGATTGCAAATAACATTATTCTTATTATATACATCACTAGTTAAAATCCCCCACCAAAAAAGAAAAAAAAATCAATGAAAAGATTTATGTAATAAATATTATATTATTTAATGTAGTGTAGTGGTTAGACTAAGTCGTAATTAGATGCTCTTTGAAAGCAAAAGAACAAGACAAGAGTCCGATATTGTAATTAGCGGATGCTAATGCAAAATTGAGGCCCCGTTTGTAGTCATTTTTTTTTTCAAAATGTATTTTTCTCTCTCTTCTTTTTAACCACACATTCTTCATTAAAATAATATTACATACAAATAAAAAAAAATTCTTATTTTTCAATCACACATTTCACATCAATTTACTATTCAAAAATGTATTTTTACATAAAAGTGCCTATCAAATACCCCATAAATTATTTTTAAGTGTATCGAATTTATTTGACAGAATTAATACAGAATTACAATTGTTTTTGACAACCGCCAATCACAGGGACATATCTTGACAACTGTTTCCATGTATTAATTCTGTAAAATAAATTCTACAAGTGTAGCATCTCCATGCAAAAATAAGCAAATTTTAATACGAATAAAACTCGAAGTACCAAATTTATTTTAACAAAATGTGTACCGATGCTCATGTGACAAAATGCATTTTGGACTATTTTCTTTCTCTTTTTACCATCTTCCAACGATGTCATTCCATATGTTGTCTATAAAGATTTTTTATTAAAAAAATTTATATTGTAGCATGATTCTTTTTAATATTAAGATGTGCAAAGATGTTTGCAAAAAAAGCAGAAAGAATAACAAAGTCAAAAGTAGGTCCCGCTTTGAAATATGTTACATAGACGGCAGTTTCGCTGCTGGTAGGCAGGTTAATTTTTAATGCGCATTCCACCCAAAGTACTTTCGCTCTCTAATAATTTGCATGTTTGTATTTGTTTGTGTATGTGAATTTTCCGCTAAGGGAAAGCAAAGTCTTATCTTTCACACTTGTCTTCTCTCTCTCTTATGGAGATTGAAAGAATCTAGGGTTTGATAGCAACTGAGAAGTCCAAATAGAGGTCCGTTTGAGACTTTTTTTTTTCCTTACTTTTGTTCTTTTGCGTGTTGAATTTTCTTCCCTTTTCAAATTCAAGTTTAGCATTTGATTTTACATGGGTTTTTCTTGTGTTGATTGATCCTTGCATCGCCCTATTGAATATCATGATCTTATGTTTGCTTGAATATCTTTGCTAAAATGGGGGTTTCAAGTTGGTTTTTATTTTTATGGACAGTTGAAGATGTAATGAACCAGTAAAGTACTTGAATTTGATGTTTTTGGGTATTGGGAATTCTGGGTTTTTAGCTTTTCTAGTTGACATTTTTAGCTTTTTTGTGGGGGGTTGATTGTGTAAAATGGAGGAGGTTAAAAAGGCAAATATTGCAGCTGTGGAGAGTTGCCATAGAGTGCTTAGTCTTTTGTCTCAAAAACTCCAGGATCAGAATCAGTTTAGGAATTTAGTTGAGCAAACCGGGGAGGCTGTAAATAAGTTCAAGAAAGTTGTTTCTCTTCTTAATTCTAGTTGTGGTCATGCTAGAGTGAGGAAAGTCAAGAAAAATCAAGCCCCTTTCCCCCAAAACTTATTTCTAGAAAATCCAATACTTAAAATAGATGATCAATCTAAACGTCTTAAGATCCCTCAAATCAATTCCATTGATACGAACCCTATTCAAGAAAACCAAGAAACAGGATCCAATATCAGGAGTGTTCTCACATCGGGAAACCCTTCTTCAGAATCGAGCTCATGTGGGAAAACCGCTCTTCAACTCGCTCAACAAACACCAATACCGAGTTATCATTTTCTCCATCTTCAGCAGCAAAAGTTGAAACAGCAAGTTGAAATGATGTATCGGCGTTGTAATAGTGGCATTAGTCTGAATTTTGATAGCTCGACCTGCACACCAACTAGGTCCTTTATATCTTCATTGAGTATGGATGGGAGTGTGGCTAATTTTGATGGAAATGCCTTTCATTTAATTGGGGCAGCTCGATCAGCAGATCAAAGCTCATACCCACACAAGAGAATGTGCTTGGGAAAGGGAGAGGATGGAAGTGTGAAATGTGGAAGCAGTGGCAGATGCCACTGCTCAAAGAAGAGGTGCTTATTTTTAGCTTTTACCATTTCTGATCCACAATATCATTGCTCTACAGAGTATATCTCACAAATGCTTCTTTTTCATTGGCTTCTTTTATTTTTTACTAATATCTGACAGGAAGCACAGGGTGAAAAGAACAATAAAAGTACCTGCAATAAGCAACAAGCTAGCAGATATACCCCCGGACGAGTATTCCTGGAGAAAGTATGGCCAGAAGCCAATTAAAGGTTCTCCTCATCCCAGGTATCGCTGACCTACTCTGAGCTCAAACTTGCCACAAATTACTTGTAATAATCGCCTTGACTAATATCTTATATGAGACGCTAGATATTTGCAATTCAAAAGTTGAACTAGCCACTGTTGAGATATTTGGTCATAAGTTTTTACGTTTGTTCTATTACTTGCAAGTATATGATTTTGTTTCTTCTATTGTCTAAAGTTTTCTTGGGGTCAGCTGCGTGTGCGGTTGGGTTGAATCAAATTCATGGAGGATTTTGACTCATTTCATTTGCAACAAAAAGGATTCTTGTCATTTTTAGCACTGTCACGGGCTTAGCATTTTTGTCAGCTGTGCCAAGCATAGCGCGGTCTTAACATTGCTAAGTTCCTGCCTCTTGCCAGAACATGTTATGTCAGCCTTATTTTACCCATGAATTTAACCTCTTTCCTAATTATCTATGGTGCCCAGCACTGCATTTTGGAATTTCTAGTTCTTATTTGGTTTAAGAAAGCTCGAACTTCTTAAATGGTTGCACTGAGTGCATCTTTCATTTGTGCAGAGGATACTATAAATGCAGTAGCATAAGAGGGTGTCCTGCAAGGAAACATGTGGAGAGATGCTTGGAAGAACCTTCAATGCTAATAGTCACTTACGAAGGTGAACACAACCATCCGGGGTTACCATCACAGGTTGCAAACACGTGAATCTTTGAAGCTACCTAGACATTTGTGAGACAAAATCTGGTTTAGATAGGAGAGTTATTTAGAATTTGGAGGTTGCTGGTTGTAAAGAAACCCATGATCTTAAATGACCTTTTAGGGCTTTTTGTGATTGTGTTTAGGTATGGATTTTCACCTTTTGATTTATTAGGTTCATTGATGCTTGCAGCTTGCCCGTGTCGTGAGCGCATTCGTAGGTAGATTACTAGCCTTAGAAAATGTCCTGACCTCAGCTTTATGTAAACATCCTGGTCGGATGATCAACTGGATAGATTAGATTTGTCTTGGTAAGATTTTGATATGGTTATATTTTATTAGAAGCTTCCTCTGATTAATGTTCTTTACAAGGGTAAATTTCTCTGCTTTCATCTTCTCCTGCTTGTCTCATCTACTAACTCTTCAACGCCCCTCCCTCTCTCCTGTTCCATAAGATGGATTCTTGTTCAACTTGGAAATTTGGTGACAGAATACTGTCAATTCGATGTTTAAAATAGTCTAACTAGGTCGAAAAAATTTGAAAATTAATCAATCTGTTCATTAGAATTCTTGTCTTTGTTAGAACAACTGAATCGTTACACCGTTTGCAGGTAAGTACAATTTCAAGTGAATTTTGTAAATGTATTTTCGCTTTAGAAATTTATACATATATTAAGTTGCCCTAGTATTTTTTGATAAATATAGAAGGTATTAGAACAAACCTTTATTATGGGTCACAACATCTCAGATATTTTTAATGATCATGTTTAACAATTTAGATAGCATTTGTACATTTTTAGAGAGAATGTTTCAAGTATTCCAACACGCTCTATCTAACTCAAAAAACAATTATTATTATTATTATTATTATTATTATTATTATTATTATTTATTTTCACTAAATTCCCCCTAAATTATTAAATTATTTTTCGTTGAAAATTGAAATATTTTTAATGCATTTAATTTTAGAGTTTTAATATTCAAATTCATTCTCTATTTTAAAATGTCAATTCAAGAATCTTTTGAAACATAATTTAAGGATTGACTCTTTGAAATAGAGATGATCTTGCATTTGAGAGTAATACTATTGATAGTCAAGACTATTGATGATCGTCTCATATAGCGTACACATGACAGTTTGTTACGTAAAACGACTATCGATAATTTTTACCATGTTTAAAGAGCCTATTGAAGATAATCTTATCGTTGAGAGAAAATAAAGAATCTTGGGTCTAACAGATATTATAATTCTATTATTTGTTATAGTAGTACAATTTTGCAGTAGCAATAGCAATCGTAGCACCAGGTGCAAGTAGCTCTCGCAATAAACTATTGTGAAGGCAAGAGATGAACATAAACGACATTATGTCAAGCGAATAACACCAAATTAAATGTCACATTGTGCAATTTAGCAATATTTAGATTTCGTAGAAAACTTGCTTAACTTGTATGCGTATCTCAATATGCAACTAACAAAATTCACTATTTAAATTGACGATACAATTTTATTTACACCAAACATAGAACAGAGAACAAAACTTTCTAATATATTGCAAAACCGAAGAAGTGATTAGAAGACAAAATTTCCTACCACGTGGAATGATTTGTACCTGGTGATCCTTGCTTGATCCCTCCATCTAGTGTGTCAGAAATCAAGAAACCAATTTCCGCGAATGGCTACAAAAAGGAAGTACAAAGACAGTTTATGAATATATTTACTGTTTTTTTAATCTTGAGCAATTTCTGAGAAATAATATCATCATAAGGAAGAGGCAATTCAACGTTTGCTTGTACAAGGAAAGGAAAGATAAAGAAAACGTCCAACCAGGCATTTCAAAGGTTAGAAGTTTTGCTTACAAATGGACATAAAACCAGACGCAGATGATGAGTGCAAAGTTCCATGATTAAATGTGCTCACAAGCTGAATTGAATCAAAAGATGAAAAGAAACACTGTTACAACCCAACAACTTGTTGAAGCAAAACCGGTGGCTGAAGCTGAAACGAAAACTAAAGTTGAAGCTGCAGTTACAGGCAGTTGAAGTTAGAAAAGATGAGCTGGAATAAATAGTTACAGCTGTTAGTTAGCAGTTCGAATGCAGTTAGTTGTAGCTGGCAATTTGATAGCTAATTCTATAAATAGAATCAATGTACAACATTAATCAGTTCTTTACAGAATACAAAAGAAAAGAGAGTCTGATTCTCTCCGGATTTTCCCATTCTTTTACCTTTTTCTAGCTCCTTTTTTGATATGGTATCAAAGCAATTTTATGTCTTCTACTGCGTTCTATATTAGTTCCTTTGCTGATTGTGATTATGGCTGCTGAAGATTCTTCTAATCCTCTGTTCTTAGCAAACAATGACAGTCCTGGTACTGTATGGGTTTCTTAAGTTCTTAACGGATCCAATTTCTTTCCTTGGAAGAGATCAATGTCCATGGCCATCTCTGCTAAGAACAAGCTTGGCTTTATCAATGGAAATCTCCCAAAGCCATCTACAACTGATCCTTCTTATCAAGCATGGATTCGTTGTAATGACATGGTTTGCTCTTGGATCTTAAAACTCCTTGAATAAAGATATTGCTGCTAGTGTTCCTTATATTGCTACTACATCTGACCTGTGGAAAGAAATGGAAGAGAGATTTAGTTAAGGAAATGCTCCCCACATCTTTCAATTGAAAAGGTCGATCTGCGCTCTTACTCAAGGTTCGTCATCAGTGACTAATTATTTCACCAAGTTCAAAACCTTGTGGGATCAATATTTCAATTATCGTCCTTTACCTAATGATTCCAGTCCTGGTGTTAAAACTCTACTGGATTATCATCTTCAAGATTACGTTCTGCACTTTCTTATGGGACTGAATGAGATTTTTGCTGCATTAAGAGGTAAATACTGTTATCTGATCCCTCGCCTTCTCTCAACAAAGTTTTCTCTTTGATTTTACAAGAGGAAACTCAAATACATATTGGTCATTATACTCCTCAGTTTGACTCTGCTGCTATGGCTAGCAAGACAGCACCTGGTCCTTCTCTGCCTCAATATTCATCTGGTTCATTCAAGCAGCCATCTGGCCCTCGAAAAGGAAAATTATATTGTGCTGAAAGTGGTTATACGTCCCACACGACTGACAAGTGCTTCAGAATTATTGGTTTTCCTCTAGGGTTTTAAATCAGGCAAGAGTAAAGGAATTAATTCTTCAAGCCAAGTTCATTCAATGGCATCTTCCAGCGAGCAGAATCTTTCTTCAATGCCACTCACTCAAGAACAATACAATCAGCTCCTCAATTTACTTAAACCAATCAATGCTCCACCCGTTGACGCTTCTTTGGTCAGTAAGTGTGATAACCTCACCCCATCATTTCAGCCTCAATTCAAATTATGCAATATGACATGTATACATCATTGCCCATCATTTTCTTCTACTCCTACTTCTTTTTCGAATGCTCCCTGGATTATTGATACGGGAGCAACAGACCACATGGTGTGTTCAACTTCTCTTCTCAACACTATAACAGCTAAAGTAAATTCTTTTGCTCAATTGCCTACTGGTGCTTCTGTACGAGTTACTCATATTGGCACTATTCTCATTTCAAATAAACTTCGTTTAACAAATGTCCTGTGTGTTCCTTCCTTTTCTTTCAACTTGCTATCAGCCAGTAAACTCACACATAGTTCTAATAGTTGCTTAATTTTTCTATCTCGTTACTGCTTTATTCAGGACCTTATCTCATGGACGACGATTGGTATTGGTGAAGAAAAATGAGGATTGTATCATCTGTCAAGGTTTCCTACAGTCTCCTACATGTGCTACTTCCTCTGCAAATTCAAGTTGTTTTAATCTTTGGCATTTTCGCCTAGGTCACTTGTCTCCTACTTGTTTAAAAAGTCTTGTTAACTCCAATTCTAAAGTAATCTCTAGTCCTAAAGAATTCCTTTGTACTATTTGTCCAATGGCTAAACAAAATAGGCATCCTTTCTTTGTTAGTGATACATTTTCTACACACGTGTTTCAGTTAGTACTTGTGATGTATGGGGGCCTTTTGCTCATCCTTCTTTAAATGGTGCATAGTATTTTCTCACCTTAGTGGATGACTTCTCTAGATCCACATGGATTTATCTTTTGCACTATAAATCTGAATCAAGATCATACATTCAATGGTTCTATAATCTCGTTGAAACACAATTCCAAGTTAAAATAAAACAATTTTGCACTGATAATGCTCCCAACCTTGATATGCAAGATTTTTGTGCTGAAAAAGGAATTATTTAACAAAAGAGTTGTGTTGCTACACCTAAACAAAACAGTGTAGTCGAACGCAAACATCAGCACCTGCTCAATGTTTCAAGCCAAGTTACCCCTTCAATTTTGGGGAGAAGCTGTCTTAACTGCAGCATATTTGATTAATCGTTTACCAACTCCCTTGTTGCAACACAAGTCTCCTTTTGAGATCCTTTATGCCAAACCTCCTATTAATGCTCACTTAGAGTCTTTGGTAGCTTATGTTTTGCCTCTACCCTCTCTCACAATCGTTCAAAATTTGCTCCTCGAGCTTGTAGGTGTATATTTCTTGGATATCCTTATGGTGTCAAGGGATATAAACTTTATGATCTTGATCTTCATACCTCTTTCATATCTCGAGATGTAGTTTTTCATGAACACATCTTCCCTTATAAAGATTTATCTTCCGTTTCTTATGACAATCCTTTCGTTTTTCCTAAACCTCTTCCCTCTCAAGAATTGGATACTTCCATTTCTACTTCAAATGGGCCCTCTTCTACACCTATACCTCGCAGGTCTTAAGTCAGGAACACTTCTAGTTACCTTGAATAGTATCATTGCAATCTCCTTTCTTGCTCAGCTCATCCTCAATCCATGTGTTCAGGTGGTTCAAATAAGGTTAGTACTCCTTATGATATAGCTACATCTCTACAGTACAACAAGTTATCACCTTCCATTTCAAGTTTTAGTGATGTAGGAAGAAACAGCAGAAGAAGAGAAAAGCAGAAGAGGAAGAAGCCGGGGAAAGAGAAGGGAAAACGTGAGAGAAGAAAGAGGGGGGAGAGAGAAGACAGAGGAGTGGAAGGCAACAATTCATTCATTCATCATCTACTAACTTTCGATCCCAATTACAATAACATAAATAACAAAACAATAACTTGGGGGCTTGGACCAAACACATATACAAGCCCAATGAGACATAGGCCCGAAATAAATAAGTAAAAGACATAAGCCCAAAATAAATAACTAAAAGATAAAATGAGGATGATGTCCGCATCAACTCTCTCGGGGTGGGAGAAAAACTCGACCTCGTCGAGGAGGTAGGTCACAAAAGGCTGCTGTCAATCTCCTAGCCACAAACTGATCG